AAGTGTTCACTTTCCCACCAAAATAGTGGATTTCCACTCATTTTGGTGGGAAAGTGAACACTTATCCTGGCCCGGTGAACACTTATTTTGGTGGGAAAGTGAACACTTATCCCGGCCCGGATAAGTGGTCACTTTCCCACCAAAATAGTGGATTTCCATTCATTTTGCTCGGAAAGTGAACACTTATCCTGGCCCGGTGAACACTTATTTTGGCTAGGAAAGTGAACACTTGTCCTGGCCCGGTGAACACTTATTTTGGTGGCAAAGTGAACACTTATCCTGGCCCGGTGAACACTTATTCTGGTGGGAAAGTGAACACTTATCCTGGCCCGGTGAACACTTATCTTGGTGGGAAAGTGAACACTTGTCCTGGCCCGGTGAACACTTATTTTGGTGGGAAAGTGAACACTTATCCTGGTCCGGTGAACACTTATCTTGGTGGGAATGTGAACACTTATTCTGGCCCGGTGAACACTCATTTTGGTGCATCATATTTTGTATCCCCGACAATATTTTTGCAAGGCCTTCTGGCTAATGATTTCCAGCCAGCACTGAGTACGATCACCTCCCCGGCCCATCCTTATTCTTGTAGCCAACAATATATCATGTGGCTTAGTTTCTCTAGGGTCATACATCCGGGAGCAAACATTCTTTTTGGCAGCTGGTAAGCGAGTGTCCGGTTCCTCGTTGAACACTCGGATGCAGTTTCTTTGCCCTTGAATCCTGCGGGATCTTGAGGATGGGGTCGAGTTGGGCTAGGTATCGGGAATATGCCATGTTCCCCCCAAGAGTTTGCAAGTGCCATATTCGGCCCAGCAGCAAGCCTGTCATCCAAGCCAAAGATTGTTTAGGCTCCCAAGTTTAGGCTGCTGCTGCTGCTGCTGCTGCTGTTGTGGTCTCTGTTGCTATGCTGTTCTGCTGCTGCTGCTGCCCTCACTGCTGCTGCCGCTGCTGCTGCTGCTGCTGCTGCTGCTACTGTTGGTGTTGGTGTTGTTGTTGCTGTTGTCGTGGTGTTGTTGTCGTCTTGTCGTCGTCGTCGTCGTCGTTGCTGTTGTTGATGTGGTTGCTGGTGGTGGCGGTTTCGGGGTGGGCTCTGAAGTTTTGACTCTTGCCTCCAGATTGTAAGACATGTCCTACACTCGCGAACTCGGTGCATCCCGTTGTGATGCCTGTGCCGGGGTGGCTACATATATATGTCAGTCACAAGAATGTCATGACGGTCTGTGTGAGCATTTGTCACACAAAGCCTTGCAACCCTTTGAATACCTGTAGCCTGTAGCTTGCAGTGCCCGCGAGCCCTCAGTAAGGAGATCCGCAGAGAGCCACCTTTTGGGTCTGTTGGTTCACTTCACACCAGGATACTCATTAGCCGCCTAAGCAATAGGCAACAGCAGCTCAGAAGATGCCAGGCAACCGAATGAATCATAGCAGACGGACCCTAAAGGTGGTGCCAGTTTGTAACAGTAGTATGTACTTATAATTATGATTCATGATTAGTTCATGATTCATCTAAGATTCATCTATGCTCACCCTTCTAGGTGGACCTCCTTGATGCCCGACTTGTTCGGAATAAACTTACACTGCACAGTTCACTGTTACAGATGTGACATCAGTGTCAATTAAGTTATAGAAGTTGAGTTATATAGATCATATATCGTTATATGCTAAATCTATAAGACTAGGACTATGACAATAAACTATAACTATAACTATAACTATATGTCACATGTCACTTCTATAACACGGAACTGTGCAGTGTAAGTAGTTTGGGGTTTAGTATTTAGTGTTTAGGGTTTAAGGTTGAGGGTTTCGAGGTTTGGGGGTTTTAGGATTTAGGTACATAATGCATAAGTCATACGGACTGGATGCCGCTTGTTGCTCGCTGGATTCTTCCAGCATCGCACAGGGCCCCCTTCCCCAGACCTTTCCTCCCTTCACCGTGTCAGCATGGCTTCCGGTCGTTGCAACTGCGACTGTCATGGAGGCTGAACTGAGTGAGTTGGAGCATGCCGCCATAGATGTCGGCCCATGCACGATCTCCAAGGAGCCTGTGCCCTCGAAGCACAGGCAGTGCACATACCATTCATGATAGGTGCCTACTGCTCTGTGGTCTGTAAATACTCTAAGTCATAAGCATGTTGTTGGTATCCTACTTACCGTTTATACTCTGATTCCACGTGTTTAAGATTATGTCGTAAGAACTCTGCTAGGCATCCCCGAAAGTTTCGCCACCAGTTTCACCGTTTCACCCAGAGACCGATTGTGGACTGAAGATGCGAGGCATCCCAGCAACAAAGTAACAGGGCAGCTGCCGACAGGAACTGTGGAGCCGTTGTGGACAGAGGGGGCATGAGATTGATGTTCAGACATGTGACATGTAGCATGCAGCATGCAGAATGCTGTGGCCTAGGTGCCGAGCAGGGATTGCTTGACCAGTGATGAGTGCCGAGGTGATCTGTAGTTTGACTAGCTGTGTGCGGCCAATTCTTGCTGGCAGCAACTCTCACAGTGCAAGTAGCTCGCTGAAGCATAGTTGCAAGGATTCTCCTAGTGAGTGCTTTCGCGAGTGACCATGCCCGATCAGAACGTGCCGTGTGTGCGATGCAAGCGAATGTGTGGCGAGACTCCCAACCCCACGGTTAAGGATCCTGGTCCACAAGATGTCTTGAAACGTCGTGGAAACCGCAACTTTTGCCAAAGTTGCTACCAATACTGTTGCTCCCACTCTCCGTATTGTGACCTCGACTCGAAAGGCATCATTGCGAAGATCGAAGAGGATCAAGAAGCCTACGATGCTGACCTCGCGGAATGGGAATCAAATCGCAGGCAAGGAAAGCGGTGCAGGACGAGCGAGAAGTCTGTTGTGGTTGAAGCAGAGACACGATCGAGTATTACTACTCGAGTCCTGCTTGGCTATCTCTGGTCGCAGGGCCTCCTCAAGCGCCACAAACTGGATTCGCTTTGGGCGAAACATCCCAAGACAACCGTGGTTCATTGTGGCAAGCCCGTCACAGGCATACTCCGTGAAGTGGGTGGCCCAGGTGCTGTGGAAATCTACAGCGATTCCCAGACCTCGGCAGTCCGGAAGAACCACAAGTCGGACACCGATGTCGAGGAGGATGCAGACAAATCTTTCCGAGATTTGACCAAGCACTTGACGGTCGGGGTCACTTCTAAAGACTTGGAGGATGGTCAGGATGGAGAGCAAGCCCTGCAGCTCAAGTCCAAACGTGCCAGATTCGAGGAGGAAGACGACGATTTCCTGTCCGTTTGGGGGATTGCCGGAGTTGTGACTGCAGGTGCTAAAGGCAGTCGCGACTCCGATGATGAGGCTGATCAGGAGAAGTCCAAGCCGAAGAAACGTGGGAAGGGCAGTGGTGGAGCTGGGACGTCATCATCCTCGAAGAACCCTCGAAAGGGCAAGCAAACGAGTGCAAACCAGGTCCCTGCCCCTGCTACTCCCAGTCTGGATGATCTTGCATCTCAGCCGGACACAAGCCGGGACTTCGGCATGTCTTCTTCCTGGTTGTTTGGTGGGAAGCCGCGAGGAGCAAAGGGCAAGGGTGGTGGCAAAGGCAATAAAGAGCTCGACAACACCGAGAAGGTCTTGAACCTCTACGATGGCATCTGCAAACAGCTGGAGAACGAGGATACATTCATGTCTTTGACCTTCAAGAAGGCCAGTCTTGTCTGTCTTCCAGGGTTTAAGAATAGTATTGTCACAGTCACAGTCACAGTCCTTTGGCATCGTATTCGTCAATCTCTTAATGGAGATTAGTACGAAATGAGTCCATGAATCAGTTAAATAAACAATGGCCAGTCGACAGTAAGCATAGCATGATTTATGTTTTGTCTTACTTAGCTTAAGCAAAAGTATATGATTCATAATTCCAATGTATTATGTACTGTAGTATTATATTATATAAGGTTAGAGTCAGAGTATATATTATTATTAGACTATATTATATTATATTATATTATATTATCTTATATTATATTATACTATAATATAAATATAATTTATAATTATAACTATATTATATCATATTATATTACATAAATACTACATATGCTGATGCACCTTATGACCCATAACATTGCGAAGATAACTTCATATAATAACTAATATCATATATATATCACTACTACTATAGACTATAGACTGCAAACTACAAGCTATACTGACTAGACCTTCCCCAATGGTTTCACAACTCTGCCTGCTGCATGGTCTATCTGAGAAGCCTCAGTTTGATTGTTGCCTTGTTACTGGTTAGTTGTAAGTGGGAATGTTTAGGATTGAATTGTTGGTGTTGCCAGTACTGCTGGTGTCGGCTGCTGCTGTTGAGTCTTTGCTAGGCTTGCTGTTGTTTTTGTTGCTGTTGCTATTCTTCGGTAGGTGACAGATGTGTCGGAGAAGCTGACCAACCGGAGCACGGAAGAGCTCATGAAGGTTTATCGGGACCTCAGCCAGTCTGGTTCCGAGACCCAGAGAGCCGTGGAAGTTATGAGGCGCTTAGCGGCTGCGAACACACGGTCCACCAGCATTTGCCAGCTCGTCTCTGCCCTTCACGACGGGGAGGCAACGGCAGGCACCCTTCGTGCGAGCATCGATGAAGCTCGTGATGCCGGTGTCAGTTTGCCAATTAGTGTTGATAAGATCGCTTTTGCCCGTGTGATGTTGGAGATTTCGGCATCGGGACAATGGGATGAGCTTTTGGATACTCTCCAAGGGCAGCCTGGACTTGTTCAAGAATGAGCCTGAGGCGGATAGATCGGAGAGATGTATGGAGTTCCAGTTCATTTCGCTGAAGACCTGTATGATCAAGTTCTTGACTCAAGAGATTCAGGTCGCTAAACCCGAGGGCACGGGTTCTGTGGAGGTCATCGGCAAGGAAGAGAAGAAGAAGCGGGATGAAGAGTTGAGTCGGGTGTCTCGGAGGTTGCATCACTGCTAGTATCAATAGAAGTTGAATCATTATCATTATCATCGGAACTAATATTTAAAATATTAGTTCCGATGATAATGATGGCGACTCAACATTAGTAAGATTAGTAACTAGCTGATAGTAGGCAGGATTTGTGGATTGTCGACGGCATCGGCTGTGGGTTTATATAAAGTTATAAAGTCTTATAAGTGGTTGCGAAATACCTTTCGGGTTTCGGGGTCATGGCATTTCACGGTTTGCAGATTCATAAGCTGAACGGCTGGATTATCCTATGGATTCTGTAGTTCGCAAACACAATCCAGAAGTTGCGAGCCCATAAAATTCACGAAGGTTATCCCGTGTGGCCAAGGCCAAATCTACCCAAAGCTGATGCTTTAAGTCTTTGGTATATATCAAGGGTTCAATGACAGACTCGGTAGACACTAGACTGACAAATAGATGGTATAAAAATTAGAATCTAACTTAACTTAACCTCTGGGGTCTATGAGTATTAATAGTATTAATATATTATTAATTAAATTATGTATATGATTGTGTGCTGTTGGTTGAACTCGTGTTTAATGGATATTCTTATCGTGTGATATGCCGTAGCCTTCGGGTATCCAGCTACTTTCAGGCAATGACAGCCAAAGCGACGGAACTAGCAGTCAAGATGAAGGGGCTTCTGTCCGGGTTTCGTGCCTCTGGCCTTTGGGAAGATTGGTCCACTCAAAACAGCACATTGTCGTCATTTGTGGAGGAGTGCAGCAATCTCAGTCTGCTGGTGTCGATCGCTGCAGTTGCTGATGTGCCCAGCTTAACGTCTGAGGAAGCTGAGCATGTGAAGAGTGCCCGAGTGAGTCTGCTTGCCAAACGAGCAACCTTTCTCGAAGCCTTGACCTTGTTCCCTCTCGGTCAGTTTGTGCAGCAGGCTAGCAACTTCGCATTGGAGGCACACCAGCGAGACCTTGGTTTCCTCACGGACCTTGATTTGTGTGTCCAAGCTGTTGCTCAGCTTAAAACTTTTACTCCCGAGATTCTCTTCAAAAACGAGGATATCCAGATTCCGAATTTCAACAAAGTCGTCGAGGCACAAATGAAATTCAGCTTGATACAGCAAGCTTGCACGAATCACTTCAAGGAAGCCCAGGCAAGCAAGCTTGCCCTCGTGCAATCCAAGTTTCAGGAACTTTCGGTTGCCATTCGAGGAGCATGCATTCAGAAATTTCAGAAGGTTCTATCAAATGATTTGAGGAATGGCTTCAAGCTTTTGTCAGAAGGGCAATTGGACGTGGAGGGTCAGGCCATCATGGTGGATGTCTTGAACAAGTCCAAGACTTTCGCCCCAGTGACCATGACCCTCATACAGAAGTGCCTTGGGCAAACAGCTAGCAAGGAGATCGTTGACCTCCTCATCTATGGCCGCAGCTTCCTTACCATCTTCTCGGCGGTTTTCCCCCCCGTCCTCAACTTGATCCAGAATGTGGGGGAAAAGCCGGATGCAAAGGAGCAGCTCGGTTCAGGGCGACTTGTGCAGGCTGACATGGTCAAGTTCATGAAGCAGTTCGCGGACAAGGAGGTCCAGAAGAGTCTGCAGGAGCTGGACCAAACCCTGTGGTTGCATATGGTTGCTGCAGTCGATCGCTTGTGCAAGGCGGCCATGCCGCTTGTCCAAGTCGGAGGTTTTGTGTTTCGCCTTAGCTAGATTGACATTTGAGTTGTTGAGTGATTGATGTGGTGATTTGAGGTCCATTCTTGCAAACGAATCCGCCGCCTTCGAGAAATTTGTTCGCTTCATTGCGAGTGACAGCCAGGCATCGGACAACATCCAGGAAATTGTCGGGGAATTTGACGACGACGACGATCAGGCCCTGGTGGATTATGGAGCTCTGTTCGATTTGTATGGTCGCCACGTCGGCGGCTGGTGCCCCTGGATCCTTGATAAAGATTCGCCACACCCGGTTGCTGTTTCGAGTGCATCCTTGTGTGCCGCCGGTGCTGCTCTTCCCTTTGGCAAGATGATCACCCACATTGGTCGCTGGATCAACAAAGTGACGAAGCTTTCAGGAAGTGCCGAGGCTCTTTGTGGCGCAAATAGTTCGTTTGACAAAGTGTCGATGCTGGTTTGGTTGATTCATGTGACGAGTGCAAATCAGTTCAGGGACTGGTACTTGTACATATTTAGGCTGAACACTATGAAACATAATTCGAAGAACTATGGCTTACATAGTAGTCATGTAACATAAGTAACACAACTTTTCATATAGCTAAATAAGTTAATGTCCCGATGCAGGTCGGTTGTTTGCTAATACCCAAAAATTAGTAAGTGCTTGTCGTTAAAATTTGAAATAAACCTTATTTTGTCATTTCAGATTCATTTCTTTCCATATTCCATTTGCTTCCATTCGTATTCTTGCTGCTACCATACATGGGCCATACAGCTCCTAAATCTGTTCATGAAATCCCTGAGCCATAATCTCGAAACCCACCTACACCCTAACTCCTTAAAAAAAATCCATAATAGCATTGTTTCGACAGGTGTTCAACAAGGACGTGCCGCCACAAGACATTCCGAAGCTCTTCGATGCCGGCATCATGGAAACATTGGGTTCCAAGGAGCACGAGCCGGGAAAGCTTGTGCATTGCTTCCGTGGGGCACAAGCAGCTGTGAGCATTACTCAAGATGCGAAGGCTACCATGTTCGTACAGGGCTGCCATTCCAAGATCCCGATGCTCTTCACGAAGATTGTGAACATTGCCAAGGGCGATTTCAAAGACTTCCGGGAAGCCCTCGAGAAGCACTATCATGCGATTGATGGTTTGAAGGATTTCTCGATGGCTTTGGAGGCCGATAAGGTGGATGCTACTATGTGTGCAAGATTGTGCAATAGTGTCGCCTTGAAGCATTGCTACAACTTCGTGTCCTACGGAGTGGACAAGATGAGTGCTATGAAGAAGATTTTGGTGGCCATCTCAGCTGCTGCAAGTATGGATGAATTCAAAGATGACTCGACATATCAGGCTCTCTTTGCAGAAGTTCAATCGATAATTCAGGAGATGAAGCAGTTCATGGGTGCCTCCACTAACACCGATGAGCAAGGACGAATTAGCTTCGCAGGCATTGCAAATTGTGTCGGAGATGCTACAATCGCTCAATCCTTGTATCGCGAGTTGAAAACCGGCGAGACAAGGCAGTCGCTGGTAAATAAGGCGTCTGCCGGTGTCAAGAAGAGGGGTTGGCGAGTGCATGCCAATCTTACAAGCCGATGCAATGCAATCCTCAGCGGCAAGCCTGTGTCAAAGTGAGTTAAGTCTCCTGCGGCATGCAAGGAAGCGGTAGGCCTGCAATGCTACATAGGCTTACATAGGCCCATGGCCCATATAGTTACATAGCCTAGCCATAGCGACGTATAGCTTCGGTCCCACACCTCCAATCGAAAGATGCAGGATGTTGCAGGTCATGCGTTTCAATGCAAGTTCAGATCTTATGAAGTTCCAGTGTGGAGTGTTGTGAAAAAAAATCAGACGTGCCGTGCTTGTCTGAAGCCTGAGCCACCCCCATAGCCCATAGCATAAGTGTTTATTGCTGCTGATGATGAGAGCGGCGATGTTGATGAGAATGCTTGTCGCTTCTGCGATGGCTGTGATGATTTCGAATTTTCGATACCACCAATCTCGCCAATACAGCAGTACTAAAATCGTGTTTAAATCCTCATGTTTTCAATTGTCAGAATGATTCAGCGAATACCTCAATTGTCACGAAGTTGACCCGATGCAGATTCATAACAATAAGTCGTTGTTAATTGTTGTGACTATGACTTCGCCTATTCCCCCTAAACCCTAAATCACCCTAAACCCCAAACTATCGGCCATCTTCGTGGCATACTCCTGGCAGCTGGAGGCTCGACATGTGACAGCCCCTAAACCCTGAACCCTAAACCCTTAACCTTAAGACCAGATCTCTACTGATAATGGGCGCTTTTCTCTTCGGGTGTACAGTACAGGTTGAGCTCCAGAATAACAGGCACGATGTTTGCAATATTTAGTTTAGTGCTTTACGGCTTTATCACTATTCAGCTCGCCTTAGAGCTCAGTCGCTCCATCAGTGGGGCTTGATAAAGTGTTCAGTTTATCAAGAAAGGTGCAGTTTAATTATACAGTCGTGTAGTCGAGTGAATAATGAAACATTCTTTTCGCAGACTTCTAGAAGCTATACAGGCTATACATTTATGCAGCATTTATGCAGCTATGCGGCTATGCAGTTATGCAGTTATGCAGCATGCATGTAGGATCAAGTTGCGAACTACGTGATTATTTCGCCCAAATTAGCTTCAGTTTAGGTGCTCATTCGTCAATATTAAGTAGTCGATCGTCCAGAATTAAGGCTTTTGTAGTGTTCGTTTCGTCAAGATTTATGTGCCTGCAGTGTTCAGTTGTCCAGAACTAAGTGCTCTGTTTGTGCTGATTTATATGTTCACCTGTCTAATTTAAGTGTTCAATTGTCCGGTTTAAGTGTTCACTTTGGTACCCAAATAAGTGTTCACTTGTCCAGATTTAAGTGTTCACTTTCGTACCCAAATAAGTGTTCACTTGTCCAGATTTAAGTGTTCACTTTGCTACCCAAAACCCCATAAAGAGTTACTGTTACAGGAAGGGTCTAATATATATATATATGTATAAAGTCTTTACAAAATAAGGATCCCTGCTAACTAGCAGAAGTCAATGAATATTCCATGGGTTTTGGAGTTTCTGTATTCGTTCAGCTCTCTGAGAGGCTCAGGCAGGTGATATAACAGTCGGGTCGAGCAAAATGTCCTGCCTTTGCTTGGCTCGCAGGGTATAGTAGTATAGTACTTGTAATTTAGGGTTAGGCGTACATTTTTCGGCTTGGCTACTCTGCAGCTCCGACCTTGGTTGTTGCACGTCGGCCTCGGTCAAGGTGGTCTGGCAAGACTTTGAGTCCATGGGAAATGGATTGGGGGAGATGTTCCAATAAGATGACACTTCCCATCGTCGCAGCTTGGGTGGGTCAGTGGGTCGGTCTCCCCAGAACCTAAAGGAAGTACTCATGCCCCGCTCGTAGGTCTGCGTAGGTGGGATTTGGGCAAGAATTGCTCAGGAGATGAACGGCGTCAATTGGTACATGATCCTTGGCTGCCCAAGCTTTTGAACCCCGGACACAACGTCTAACCTTTCCGAAGACTACACCTACGCACCCTAACCCTTAAACCTCACAGATGTGAGGAAAACATGATTTGCATTCTTAAACACACGTTGGATTTCTTTCCATGTCATGCTTTTTGAAGGATCCTCCCAAGACAGCCGAGGAGTGTCCAGGTTGAACATGCCGGGCTGGCCGTTTCGGATCACACGACGACTGTTCTTTGTGGTGTGGCGGCTGAGCCAGAGACCGGGGACGCAGAGATTTGGACTGTGTATCATGGCCTCTCTGCCCTGTGAAAGCAGCTGCTGACGAGAGGAGGCACACATGCCCGTTGCCGAAGTCTACAGAGTCCCTACGACGAGTTGTCCAAGTCTGCGAACGTCTTCAAGCTCCCAACACCCTGACGCTCCGCTGCGGTCAGCCATGGAAATCCCATCGTGACCCATGGAAGCATCCATCAGCTGGGAAGCCCTGAAAGGTGTACAGTGTACGGACAGCCAAGGGCTGGAGCTTTAGGTCTTTGTTTATTTACATAGGTCCAAGAGAAAGTCAGCCGGCTTTAAGACAAAAAAGAGAGAACTGCCTCACCACGCCAGCATGTTCAAAGACCTGGAAGGCAAAATCCGAGCGCAACCCTGTTCTAGTTATTCTAGTTATTATCCACTTATCTGCAGTTTTGTTTCGAGGTTTATTCCATTCCACTGCTGCACATAGCAGGAATTGGTCATTTCGGATTCTAAAGGTCGCCTGTGCTGAGGGGCTGAACTCTTGCATTGTACTAGTATCATTCTTATCTTGCACATGGCAAAATCTAAAGCTCAGCCGTCTGAGTATGGCATGGAGTCGGTTCTGTGCTCTGAGTTGCGGTTGTCGTTCTTGCTTTCGATGCAGGAACACACCCACAGCAGCAGGTGCATGAAGAGACGCGGTGGAGAGTACTTCCATGGGAGTGTGCGCTTTGTTCCTGCCCTGTTTGAGGCGTTTCGGTCAGACCCACCACTGCACTTCTCCGACTTCGACAAGACTGAGAAGGCTCAGCTCAGCACTTCAAAGCGAGAGCGTGGCCGGAACTGCCATTGCTGAGAAGCTGTGGCCTGGCCTCTGCTGCTAGGCTTCGTAGATGGCAGAGAGGGCTTGCGCAATGCTGGCAGGAAAAGAAGCATTGAAGACCGCATCCCTGGTCGTCTCGCCAACCTTCTTGGACAACAGCCTACACTCTTCGGCGATGTGCAAGGCTTCCGATCAAACTTTGGGTGGCTGCTTTTCAGCTCGGAAGGTGAGACTCTTGAAGTCTGTGTGAGACAGGCCACCAACTTCCTCCACCAACGGCAGGATTCTATCAACTTTACATGCTGGAAAGATCGATCGATATCTCACATGCCAAGTCATCCACGAGGCGGAGTACTTCTGGGCATTGACCGAAGCGCTTCTACAATGCGAGCCTGGCTTTGCTCATGGATGGCCGACAGAAGACTTCGGCGAATGCTTTCCAGCACATGGCCCCGCCATGTGGGACCGGTCATTCGCCGAAGTCTTCTGCAGGCCATCCATGAGCGGAGCCAGGCTCGCTTTGTAGAAAACTCGCCCTGCGCTTTGTCACCGACTCTCGGCTCTTCCAGGTCTTTTCGACAAGTGTCTTGGCACTGCAATGTATAGTGTGTGCTTAAGTAAGAAGGAACCATCATTTCAAAGTGCCTCCAAAAGCAGCCCAGGCTCTTCGAGCTTTTCTCTGTTTTGAAATCTTGCCGATCCGTTGAGTCGGTACTGTGGACTTGGAAGTCTGCCCTCGGGCTTCAGGTGAGTTCCTGTCCACAGTGTTACAAGGATGTGTCAGTGCTGTTCTTGTAATTCTGTTAAGTTAACACCAACCCACTTGAGGTCCGAGACAGACAGATTTTGGAAAGGCTTTTTCCTGTGAGATGGATCTCAGCTCAGCTCCTGAGACCCAAGATCTCACCTTGGCTTTACCTGCAGATGTGCCAGGAGCAAAGCGGACCCGAGGTTCTGGCGGGCTCACGGTGCAAGTTTATCAGATGTTTACCGAGCTTTGGCGACTCATAGCAACATGACGAGCTAGCAAATAAATATCGAAAGTAGAGATGTTCGTGAAGACTAGGTCGCTGGATCTTGTAGTACCAGGTGCAACTTTCACAGCAACAAATATCAGTCAAGAGTGGGTCAAAGGAGTGTTGTCTACACCCCCACCCCCACAATCATTGCAGCGCAGTCGTCGCAAGTGTCTATCAAGGAAGGCTTGAGCACAAGGACTGTCACAGGTATGGCAGTATGCCGACCAAAAGAAACTCGGATCCTCTCACAGAGACAGTTTTAGAAAATAACCCAGGAGCGTTCCGAACAAAAACGTAAACCACAAGCTATGGCCCGGGAAGTTTGCTTGGCAGGAGGACCGTAGTTACCGGTTCTACAAGGATCGGCAGAAAGACCTGTCCCGTGCTTAGCTGCACTGCTACGATACATCAGAAGTAAACCCAATGCCGGGGCGTCGCTTGCTGACTTTTCCGTTTTCTCTTTGCTCCCTCTCTCTCACTCTCTTTTCTTCTTTGTTGTGGGGATGCGCAGCATGGGAGCATCTTCAGTTCGTGTTTGCTTTGCTGACTCTTGACCCACAGACAAGTGCATTCATTCTATGGCTGGCACTACTGTAATGGGCTCATGGCAACTTGAATGTTGTGATGCGACTGTAGACCCTAGGCCCTAGACTTTGTGAGGACATGCAGCACTGGCCTTGCCAACAGCTCCCTTTGATGCTGTCCTGGTTGAACAACACAGCAGTATCGGGGTTGTGGGAGATATTATGCTTCTAACAGTTGTTGAGGCTATGTTTGCTTTGGTGCTTTGGAGTTCAAGGAGGGAAGCAGCCGACTTCGAGCTTGCAGCCTTGCTGTGGAGTTGTGTCGCTAGGGAGAGCCCGACGGGGTGTCCTAAAGGGGTAGTAGCTGCACAGGTGGTCATATATCATGCTCTGTATTCGGCCGGGGCCTGCGTTTGCTTCTGCATGCTGTTCGCATTTGTGCAGTTGGCCCAACTTTCGAAGTGATGTTCTGATCCATGTGTTTGTTGAATTCCAGGATGAGGCGGACTGGTGTACCTTGACCTTTCCAGGGCAGTGGCAAGGGTATGA